GTCTAGCGCCAATAGCCAGCATTGGCGCTAATTCAGTTTTATCTACGCCAGAACTCTGTTTTGATATTTTATCTTTTTGGCTGATTTTCTTTATAAATAACGTCGTAAAAACTCCGTTTTGATTCATTAATTATCACCAATTTTCATCAACATTCACCTACAATCATCATCTCTCTATTTTCATAAACTCTCATTAAGATTCTCTTGATTACTTTCTCTCTCTCTTTTCTAAACTAGCCTCTTACAAACAAAATTCCGCATAATAAGATAAAGAATAATCTTGTTTAGGGTTAATATGATTATAATTCATGTTTAAAGGGAATTTGTACTTGTAATCATGCTTAATAAGATAAAGAATAATCTTGTTTAGGGTTAATATGATTATAATTCAAGTGATCTCCAATAATAGATTTATTTGTGCATTAATATTCAACCAACATAAATAAACAGTTTTAGGGTTAATCCTATTGATTGCATGTTAGTCAAAAAGCGCACATGAATACGATTTGAATAAAGTAGAGGCCTATTATTAGGGTAGGTTCAATCTCTTTTAGGTTGGATTTGTACCTTCATCCTATAGGAGTTTATAGGTACTACGCAACGGAAATAACATGAATCATATTCAATCTAGTACCAATCCAGGATCACATGCATAACACACAAGACACATAATCATACCTTTAACGCGTGAATTCCACGAAGCTATTCGACAGGCAAATCAGGGAGAGAATAAAGCCCCAAGCGTTGCTCCTCTACTTAGTCCACGAGATTTGAACGATCCGTCCACCAATACTAGATTGGTCGAGTGATTGAGGAAAACCGCGATCACCACCTTTATGGACAACCGACCACCGCACGAACCACCACCACCACGAGACACCATCGGCGCCTAGGAGGAGAGAGCCGTGAGAGATAGGACTATGAGAGGGGTTGGGTTTCGTGTTTGCTAATTAGGGTTTGATCACACTGATCAGTTAATTGCTTCCTTACTTGCAAACCTAGGCACCTAGTCTATTTATAATCTCATTATAATTAGTTTAGGGCACGAAGCCCAAAACCACTTCTTAATCCCCATATGGCCGGCCACCTAGAGTGATGAGGCCCATGATAGGCCTCGTCCTCTAATGCTCGATCTAGCCCCTTTGTGTTACCTTATAGGATCCGTCCAATTGGGTTTTGGGCTATTTTACTAGTCCAAAGATCTTTAGTACCTCTAGCTATAGCAAAACGACGACCCAAATGTATGAACTTAATTATCTCCATAATTTGATCCAATTATATATCTAGTAATTGCACACGACGAAGACATAACTCATTCAATCTCCCACTTGTCTGAGACAAGGGTGCAATATTCAAATTCCTTAAGTCAATATATGTGTCGATTTGATAATATGATTGCATCACATGTCGAGATCATATTAATCTACAATTCGTTTCTTGAAATCTGAGTTAGAATTACAAAACCAAATGATTACTGTGTAATGCATTTGAACGCGGCCACGTATTTTCTGAATTCACCCTCTTCAAGCGACCATGACACATTTCCTAATTTAATAGGTAGACTCTATCCAATCTTGTGGTAACATGACTCTCACTCAACTTCTGAAATAACCGGGAAACACCCTTTATAATCTCGAGTTACGGCTAGACGTTTGAGTGTACCACAGTCACAATATCCATTGAATGAAATAAATGTTCCACTCATGTAAAAGGAATCCACTAATATATACAGAAGCTCTATATTTGAACTTCAAAGTAGGTTAATAGTTCGATCATGCATCATTCATGCATATCCAAGTGATTGACCGAGCATCACTATGCCCCTATAGCCCATGAAACTGCGCTATCCAATCAATCTTACATGCTAGTTCATTTATTGAAATCATTTATGTCCACTTTAATGATCTCGAACTAGGAACTTTAAATAATATATGAATTTTGTTCACCTGTGGGGTTTCAATTCACCAGGTCATTTACCTGATAAGCCCATCAATTCATAATTATTTTGGACATTTTATTTAATTTTCAAAACCATAATTAAATAAGAGAAATAATAATTTCTATTTTAAACATAATTTTGCAAATTGATGCATTTCTCATGTAATATGTTTTATTCAAAACATATACAACTTAAATTACATAAATTGATTCAATCCTAAGACTTTAATATGACTCTCATATCTTAGTCCATGGAAGGGGTTTAGTGATTTCTCACTCATAATAAAACTTTGCTGAACACGACCTTCCGCTGGTCAATGATCTCATAATTGAGGTGATATCTCATATCCTTTTGTTTGGATTTGTGATGTGACTCTGGCTCCTTTGTTCTTGGGCAAAGGTAACCTGTTAGTCACATGATATTTTAATCCGAAATTTCTCTCTAACTATCTTACTATAGTTTAATACACATATTCTGACATTGAGTATGCAACAATGCTCTGCTTTGAACTATTCAAGCTCACTGTCCTTTTATTCTTGCATTCGTGTAACCTTTTGACAACCTGCTTAAATTACCATTTAACATAATAGCTAGAAATATTCCTTTTATTGCTTCTCAAGTACTCTAGGATTTGTTCATGGTAATTCTCCGTATGCTTTTTCTGAATTTGCTTGAACCCTGCTACACATGCACAAGTCATATGCAACATCTTGCTTTGTACATTTCATGGCACTGAGTTTTACTGAGTGTAATACCATGAAACATGGGAAGATATCCTCTCTTAGAGTCTTGCTTCATGAACTTGTCAAGATCCTTATCAACATAAGTCTCTCAATTCATTCTAATTATTCTTCAAGATTCACTTCATGGATCTTAATTCCCAATATGTACTCAACATCTCCTAAGTCTATCATATTGAAACAATCTTTCTAACCACTTCTTGACTTATTCAAGCATTGATATATCATTTCATATGAACTGTATGTCGATTACATAGTAGACTAAGAAGACCAATTGCTCCCACTAAACTTCTTGGCTCTGCAAGAATTCTTTTGTTCTACTAAGGAAATCAAACTGTTTGATTGCCTAATCAAAACGAATGTTCCAACTCCCTGATGCTTACTTCAATCCATAAATGAATTTCAAAAGTTTGCAAAACTTTCTAGGAATTTCTAGATTTCAAAACTCTTAGGATGTATCATATACATTCTCACCATCAAGAACATTTCATGAAAGTGATTTTGATATCTATAACTAGAATAATCCGAATAGGCTTACCCAACTAATAGGTTTGACCCTATTTGTAAGACTATTGACATTCTCACCATCAAGAACATTTCATGAAAGTGATTTTGATATCCATAACTAGAATAATCCAAATAGGCTTACCCAACTAATAGGTTTGACCCTATTTGTAAGACTATTATGGGCTAACACATTTTTATGAACATGGAGTCCATATTGGATTTCATGGCTTTAAGCCATTTCCTAAGTTGGCATTTATCCAAAGCTTGCTTGTAGGCCATGGATTCTAACCGTTCTAATAAGAAAATTTTAGAATCCACCTTTTCTCAGAATTTCAACAAACTATTTGTTTTGATCCCAAGTAGCCTATGATAGGTATGAGCGACAATAGAATTATTCTCTTCAACTCTTTGAAGCCTTTCACTCTAGTAGGACGATAGAAGCCTCGCTAGTGGAAATAGCTTGCTTCGACACATGGTTTATCAAATTAGCTGATTTCATATGCCTTCATCTCTGATGTAGTGTTATCCACATCCATTTGTTGCTCATCTCGAATCTCACCAAGATCTAACTTTACTCCCACTTGGCTTTGTAGGAAGACATTCTTTCTATAAAGACACTATCGCGAGCAACAAACACTTTGTTTCTACGCGATTGTAGGAATAATACCTTTTAGTTTCCATGAGAAAACCCATGAAAAACTATTTTTTCTGATTTAGGGTGCATTATGTCATCTTTCGAAACATTTTACATTGATTTCGTAACCCTTAATCCTGTTTAGAAAAATAACTTTTGGAACATTTCCAAATCATAACTCTTATTACATCTTTTCTTCTACTTTGGTTAAGTTTCCTGTTTAGTATTTTCGCAATTGTTGTTGTAATGTATATCCTCAAAACGATATTTGTATATCATTAAATCTTGGATCGAACAATGGCAAGCAAAGTTTGATTCATTCTTCATAAACATACACTTTAATTGTAATGTTTCTAGATTGTGAATTAATTCAACAATTCCCTTTAGATGATCATTCCTTTTGAGTAAGATATTTATCATAACAATCATATTGTGGTGATAATTTGTTCATCTCAAATTGATTTTACATTTCATTTTTAGAATTTTGAACATTTCAATGTTTCCAAGCTTTACTTCATTAAGTAATTATCGATATATTTACTTAAATCGTTAGTAAAAGCAATGAAATTGTTAAATCTCTTTGCTAATTTTGAACTTATTGGTTCACATACATCATATGTATAAGTTCCAAAAGGTCATTTTAGCTTCCTTTACCCTTTATACTAAAAGGCAACATGGTCATTCTAACTTATCAATCATGACTTCTAATTCTCAAGTGATTCATAATCATATAAGAATAAGAGTCCATCCATAACTTTGGATGTGCAAATGGTTAATGTGACCCAACCTTACTTGTTATAAGTAAGTGTATTTTGAATCATCTAAATTTTACTTTTGTGATCTACTTATATCAATGTTATAAAACAAAATTAACTCATATCTTGCAAAATGAAAACAATTTATTACGTTGGTCATGGATCAACACTTGTCCAAACCAAGTAAACCAAATTCAGTATTCAAAACAAGAAAACCGAAATATTGTCTCATCAAAACTGGAAATTGTTCTAAACTCATGATAAACTAATCAAAATGTTAAACTATGAATCTATTTCTGGTCACTCAAAACTTCTAGTGCACCTTCAAGCTCCATTTCCATGCTAGTTTCACTTGTTTGCAGTTCCTGCGCAACATCACTATGTTAAGCGCTGCAACTTGGTATCTCATACCTAAGTGAAAATGTTTATAACATAATACCTGAGTTTGATGCTCCATTCTTCTTGAGGAAGTTGTGGTATTTCTTGAAATTTCTCTTCCAATGCCCGTTCTTCTTGCAGTAAAAGCATTCACTTTCACTTGCATCCTTGGGCTTTGGAGTCATCTTAGGCTTTTCAGCAGCCTTGGCAACTTGCTTGCCCTTTCTCTTAGCACTAGCCTTTTGACCCTTCTTCTTGAACCCCTTTCCCTTTTGAATCATAAGAACTTCCTTCTTAGGTTCCTTAGGGATTTGTTTCTCAGCACTAACCAGCATTGCATGCAATTGATTCATAGTCTTTGCAGCTGTAGTCATGTTAAAATTCATGATAAACTGGTTGAAACTTTCTGGTAGTGAATGGAGAATGATGTTTGTTGCCAAATCATCATTATATGGGTGCCCCAGTTTCTCCATACTTTGAATTAGGCCGATCATTTTGAAAATATGATCATGAACTGTGGCTCACTTCTCCATTCTACAATCAAGAATCTCACGATAGAGCTCATACCTTTCTACTCTAGCTTGTTTCTTAAACAAAGCTTTGATTTCTTGCATGATTGAGTAGGCATCCTGATCCTCAAAACGCTTTTGAAGACTAGGCTCCATGGTAGCAATCATTAAGCAAGTGATAGGTACAACTCTTTCATGAGCTTTGTTTAGGGTAAAAATACCCTAGATACGTGGACCAATGAGAGGAGGCCACGTGTCGAGTTCAGGATGGCCCCCGTGGCTTAATATCCTCTTGACACGTGGCCCCCTTAGATACATCTCTGAAATGGCGGCCTTCAAGGGCCTAAATCCCAAGAAGCGCTGTAAAACGGCGCAGCCCACTGAAATTTAGGTCAAATGACCTAGACAGGGGCATGTTCTCCAATGACCCTATAAATAGATAGATATTTCCCCATTTTAAGTAGGGTTGGCAAATGGATCAGGTCGGGTCGGGTTCGTGTTCGGGTCAGTTGATTTCGGGTCAGCTACCTCCCAACCCTAACCTGATCCATTTAACTTTTTGGGTTGAAAACCCCAACCTAAACCTGATATTTTCGGGTTTGGGTCAACCCGAAATTGACCTTATTTGACCTGATATTTTTTTAAGGTTTTAAACTTTTAATCAGATTATTCAACCTGAAACTAGCCTGATTTATTTTTCTAATAACTTTTATTATCAAACCCCTTGATATTATCAAACGAACACTCAAGTTCATAGACACATTGATTTAGTTGAAACCAAAATACTCCATAAAAAACATAGTTTATTGAAACCAAAACTAACTAAAAGAAGTGTGCTTAATGAACGAGCGAGTAATAAGAGTAAAAATTAAAGTTAATAAATTATAAGGTCAATAACAAAAACATGAAAAAAAACAAACATCATCATATTCATCACATTTACTAGCTTGTAATATCGTCAGTAGTGTCGTCGCTGCCGCCACCTCTCATTCTTCTATAATTTAATGTGTGGGAGGTCTGGGAAGTAGTTGCCTTACTCTTGAATTGCAATATGGAATTATGGATCTCCACAATTGAAGAGAGAGAAAATTGAGAGGAAACTTGAAATAGGAGAGAGAAAGGGCTTCTTACGGCTGCTGGGAGAAGATTGAGAGTGTGAGAGGATTTAGGGTTTTAGTTTTTAATAGAACTTAAATATGGGCTTGGGCTAGTTTACTGATTACTTCAGCAATTTTTTTTTTTGGCTATTTAACTCATTTCGGGTGAAGTGGGTCATTTTCGGGTTGAAAATTTCAACCTTAACCTAAACCATTTAATTATTAGGTCGGGTTCGTGTCGACCCATTTAATTTTTCGGCTATTTTCGGGTCGGGTTCGTGTCGGGTTTTCGGGTCGAGTCAGTTTTTGCCAGCCCTAATTTTTGGGGACACATTCAATCATTTATTACACCTACATTTTTCTCACATCAGAGAAAGACCTGTGCTTGGAATCCAAGCAGATCCCCAACTAAATTTCCATACTCTTTATTCCCTTTCAAGTTAATAACTAGATCGTCGGAGGCAGAGCTCCTACCACCCGGAGTCTCCGTTGTTTTGCAGGTACAACTGAGCCGGATCAGACTTCGTGACGTAACTCTCCCGAGGGACAAAAACACCCAAAACATTTGGCGCTGTCTTTGGGGATAGTACCTCGAAGATGGTTCAAGAGTCTGTACCACCTCCTAACCGTCTGGGCGATGACCCGGAAGTTTTCACAACCTGGAGGATGAAGATCCTCAGGTCGAAACCTATACAGCCGATGATGTCTCTCTGATAACCAAGGGTATCCGACCCAGAGACACTCTGGAGCGGGGTGCCTCCCAGGCGGGTACAAATCGACCCCCTGGGCAGCCGGAAGGGGAAACCCATACGGCAGCTGGATCAGCACCTATCACCCGAGACGAACTCATGAGATTCATGACAAGTTTCAAGGGTGAAATTAAAGAACTGATCACTAAGAGCCGGGCTGGCCCAAGTAGGGGCCAGTCGGTCAAGAAGACTCCTCTGGAAAAGGGGAAGTCAGTCAGAGATCGGCAGCCGGGACCATTGATTGGTCTAAAATTCTTCTTCCTAAGAGGAATACCAACAATACCCGCCGGACCCAGCAGCTGGTGGGAAGTAAAAAATCAACTCTTGATGCCCGGGAGATCATCAACCGGAAGAGAAATCAACAGTTGTCTGAGTCGGCTTCTATGTCAAATTTTCCAGGCAGCTTCAACAATACTTCAGCAGGGAATGCACTTTCCTTGCATGAGAGTCAGACAGGCGGTAATACCGTCCACTCTGGCCCTCGGATGATCGGGATTGCATCATATGCACCTTCTCAGGTCTACGGTCAGTACCCACCTTACTATATGTAGCCGGCTCTATTCGGAGGTCAGGCGGCATATCACAATGTCCAACCACTAGACTGGTAGCTCCGTCTGCTTCGCCTTGGTGAACAACCTTCTGCGTTCACCCGGGAGATAACCGAGGCGGCACAGCTGGCCAAGGTTAAGAATGTATTGGTTGGTACCTATGATGGTACCACCAACCCGAAACATCACCTCATGGCTTACACCAACCTCATGTACTTACAAGGGTTGGATGATGCAACTTGGTGTCGATGCTTCCCGGCTATGTTGAAGGGCATTACCCAACAATGGTTAGGCAATTTGCCAGCCGGGTCCATTGATAGTTTCAAGAAGCTTGTCATCCTGTTTCCTTCCAACTTCTCAATGAACATCGCTGCTAAGAAAACAAGCCTGGACTTGAGCACCATCAAGCAGGGGGAGAGAGATGGGCTGCGCTTCTATGTCAGGCGGTTCAATCTGATTAGAGTTCAGATTCAAGGACTGTCTGATGAGGTAGCTTTCACAGACCTTTTCAAGGGTCGGAGAGACGGGTCGACTTTTAAGTTCGACCTAGTCAGAAAAGGGGCTTTCACTTTACAGGCGGCCTTGAGGGAGGCGGAAAGCTATATTCAAGCAACCGACCTCTGCACGCCTGGTAATCAGTCGGACTCCTAGAAGTCTGATAAACAGAAAGACAGCCGGCCTGCTCAGCTGGCCAAAAAGAAAGAAGAGAGCAAGAAAAGAAAAGAAGTTTGGGCGGTTAGTGACTCTGACCAGCCGTCCAGAAGAAGAAGAAAGGATTTAAACCGTACGTCCTTAAGTACGAGTTTAACAAGGACTGTAACTCCATCCTCATGGAAATTAAGGAATGACTGTCCCTAGAGAAGCCGAATCCAATGAAAAGTTCCATTCAATCGAGGAACAAAAACAAATTCTTCCAATACCATGAGGAAGTTGGCCATGACACCAACGACTACTTCAGCCATTTCCTAAGTTGGCATTTATCCAAAGCTTTCTTGTAGGCCATGGATTCTAACCGTTCTAATAAGAAAATTTTAGAATCCACCTTTTCTCAGAATTTCAACAAACTGTTTGTTTTGATCCCAAGTATCCTACGATAGGTATGAGCGACAATAGAGTTATTCTCTTCAACTCTTTGTAGCCTTTCACTCTAGTAGGACGATAGAAGCCTCGCTAGTGGGATTAGCTTGCTTCGACACATGGTTTATCAAATTAGCTGATTTCATATGCCTTCGTCTCTGATGTAGTGTTATCTACATCAATTTGTTGCTCAACTCGAATCTCATCAACATCTAACTTTACTCCCAATTGGCTTTGTAGGAAGACATTCTTTCTATAAAGACACTATCGCGAGCAACAAACACTTTGTTTCTTTGTTTCTACGCGAATGTAGGAATAATACCTCTTAATTTCCATGAGAAAACCCATGAAGAACTATTTTTCTGAGTTAGGGTGCATTATGTCATCTTTGTAAATATTTTACATTGATTTCATAACCCTTAATCCTGTTTAGAAAAATAACTTTTGGAACATTTCCAAATCATAACTCTTATGACATCTTTTCTTCTACTTTGGTTAAGTTTCCTGTTTAGTATTTTCGCAATTGTTGTTGTAATGTATATCCTCAAAACGATATTTGTAAATCATTAAATCTTGGATCGAACAATGGCAAGCAAAGTTTGATTCATTCTTCATAAACATACACTTTAATTGTAATGTTTCTGGATTGTGAATTAATTGAACAATTCCCTTTAGATGATCATTCCTTTTGAGTAAGATATTTATCATAACAATCATATTGTGGTGATAATTTGTTCATCTCAAACTGATTTTAAATTTAAGTTTTGGAATTTTGAACATTTTAATGTTTCCAAGCTTTACTTCATTAAGTAATTATCGATATATTTACTTAAATCGTTAGTAAAAGCAATGAAATTGTTAAATCTCTTTGCTAATTTTGAACTTATTGGTTCACATACATCATATGTATAAGTTCCAAAAGGTCATTTTAGCTTCCTTAACCCTTTCTACTAAAAGGCAACTTGGTCATTCTAACTTATCAATCATGACTTCTAATTCTCAAGTGATTCATAATCATATAAGAATAAGAGTCCATCCATAAGTTTGGATGTGCAAATGGTTAATGTGACCCAACCTTACTTGTTATAAGTAAGTGTATTTTGAATCATCTAAATTTTACTTTTGTGATCTTGTTATATCAATGTTATAAAACAAAATTAACTCATATCTAGAAAAATGAAAATAATATATTACCTTGGTCATGGATCAACACTTGTCCAAACCAAGAAAATCAAATTCAGTATTCAAAACAAGAAAACTGAAATATTGTCTCATCAAAACTGGAAATTGTTCTAAACTCATGATAAACTAATCAAAATTTAAAACTATGAAGCTATTTCTGGACACTCAAAACTTCTAGTACACCTTCAAGCTCCATTTCCATGCTAGTTTCACTTATTTGCAGTTCCTGCGCAACATCACTACGTTAAGCACTGCAACTTGGTATCTCATACCTAAGTGAAAATGTTTATAACATAATACCTGAGGTTGATGCTCCATTCTTCTTGAGGAATTCGTGGTATTTCTGGTAATTTCGCTTCCAATGCCCTTTCTTCTTGCAGTAAAAGCATTCACTTTCACTTGCAGCCTTGGGCTTCGGAGACGTCTTAGGCTTCTCAGGAGCCTTGGAAACTTGCTTGCCCTTGCTCTTAGCACTAGCCTTTTGCCCCTTCTTCTTGAACCCCTTTCCCTTTTGAATCATAAGAACTTCCTTCTTAGGTTCCTTAGGGATTTGTTTCTCATCACTAACCAGCATTGCATGCAATTGATTCATAGTCTTAGCAGTAGCAGTCATGTTAAAATTCATGATAAACTGGTTGAAACATTCTGGTAGTGAATGGAGAATGATGTATGTTGCCAAATCATCATTATATGGGTGCCCCAGTTTCTCCATACATTGAATTAGGCCGATCATTTTGAAAACATGATCATGAACTATGGCTCCCTTCTCCATTCTACAATCCAGAATCTCACGATGGAGCTCATACCTTTCTACTCTAGCTTATTTCTTAAACAAAGCTTTGAGTTCTTCCATAATTGAGTAGGCATCCTGGTTTTCAAAACGCTTTTAAAGACTAGGCACCATGGTAGCAATCATTAAGCAAGTGATAGGTATAGCTCTTTTATGAGATTTTTTTAGGGTAAAAATACCCTAGATATGTGGACCAATTAGCGGAGGCCACGTGTCGAGTTCAGGATGGCCCACGTGGCTTAATACCCTCTTGACACGTGGCCCCCTTAGATACATCTCTAAAATGGCGGCCTTCAAGGGCCCAAATCCCAAGAAGCGCCGTAAAACGGTGCAACCCACTGAAATTTAGGTCAAATAACCAAGATAGGGGCACGTTCTCCAATGACCTTATAAATAGGGAGATATTTCCCCATTTTGGGGACACATTCAATCATTTATTACACCTACATTTCTCTCACATCAGAGAAAGACCTGAGTTTGGAATCCAAGCAGATCCCCACCTAAATTTCCGTACTCTTTATTCCCTTTCAAGTTACTAACTTGATCGTCGGAGGCGGAGCTCCAACCACCCGGAGTCTCCGTTGTTTTGCAGGTACAACTCAGCCGGATTAGACTTCGTGGCGTAACTCTCCCGAGGGACAAAAACACCCAAAACATTTGGCGCCGTTTGTGGGGATAGTACCTCGAAGATGGTTCAAGAGTCTGTACCACCTCCTAACCGTTTGGGCGATGACCAGGAAGTTTTCACAGACCAGGAGGATGAAGATCCTCAGGTCGAAACCTATACAGCTGATGATGGCTCTCTGATAACCAAGCGCATCCGGCCCATTGACACTCTAGAGCGGGGTGCCTCCCAGGCGGGTACAAATCGACCCCCTGGGCAGCCGAAAGGGGAAACCCATACGGCAGCTGGATTAGCACCTGTCACCCGAGACGAACTCATGAGATTCATGACAAGTTTCAAGGTTAAAATTAAAGAACTGATCACTAAGAGTCGGGCTGGCCCAAGTAGGGGTCAGTCGGTCAAGAAGACTCCTTTGGAAAAGGGGAAGTTAGTCACAGATCGGAAGCCCACTCCTCATCCAAAGGAGAAGGCAGCCGGGACTTTTGATTGGTCCAAAATTCTTCTTTCTAAGAGGAATACCAACAATACCCGACGGACGTAGCAGCCAGTGGGAAGTAAAAAATCAACTCTTGATGCCCGGGAGATCATCAACCGGAAGAGAAATCAACAGTTGTTTGAGTCGGCTTCTACGTCAAATTTTCTAGACAGCTTCAATAATACTTCAGCATGGAATGCACTTTCCTTGCATGAGAGTCAGACAGGCGGTAATACCGTCCACTCTGGCCCTCAGATGATCGGGACTGCATCACATGTACCTTCTCAGGTCTACGGTCAGTACCCACCTTACTATATGCAGCTGGCTCTCTTTGGAGGTCAGGCGGCATATAACAACGTCCAACCACTGGACTGGTAGCTCCGTCTGCTTCTCCTAAGTGAACAACCTTCTGCGTTCACCCGGGAGATAACCGAGGCGGCACAGCCGGCCAAGGTTAAGAATGTATTGGTTGGTAACTATGATGGTACCACCAACCCGGAAGATCACCTCATGGCTTACACCAACCTCATGTACTTACAAGGGTTGGATGATGCCACTTGGTGTCGATGCTTCCCGGCTACGTTGAAGGGCATTGCCCAACAATGGTTTGACAATTTGTCAGCCGGGTCCATTGATAATTTCAAGAAGCTTGCCTTCCTGTTTGCTTCCAACTTCTCAATGAACATCCCTGCTAAGAAAACAAGCCTGGACTTGAGCACCATCAAGCAGGGGAAGAGAGAAGGGCTGCGCTCCTATGCCAGGCGGTTCAATCTGATTAGAATTCGGATTCAAGGACTATCTGATGAGGTAGCTTTCACAGACTTTTTCAAGGGTCTGAGAGACGGGTCGACTTTTAAGTTCGACCTAGTCAGAAAAGGGGCTTTCACTTTACAGGCGGCCCTGAGGGAGGCGGAAAGCTATATTCAAGCAACTGACCTCTGCACGCTTGATAATCAGTCGGACTCCATGAAGTCTGACAAACAGAAAGATAGCCGGCCTGCTCAGCCGGCAAAATGAAAGAAGAGAGCAAGAAAAGAAAAGAAGTTTGGGCGGTTAGTGACTCTGACCAGCCGTCCCAGAAGAAGAAGAAAGAATTTAAACCGTACGTCCCTAAGTACGAGTTTCACAAGGACTGTAACTCCATCCTCATGGAAATTAAGGACCGGTTGTCCCTAGAGAAGCCAAATCCAATGAAAAGTTCCATTCAATCAAGGAACAAAAACAAATTCTGCCAATACCATGAGGAAGTTGGCCATGACACCAACGACTACTTCAGCCTTCAACGGGCGTTGGACCGTCTGGCTGACAAGGGGATGTTAAAGTCCTACATTTCTAAGTCCAAAGGGACTAATAAGAAGAATCTGAGGCAGTCGTCTAAGACCCCCCAGCCTGCTAGTAGTTCGGACACTGACAAGGATCCAGTCTACACAATAGCAGGCGGGTTCTCATGCGGTGGCCCTACCATCTGGGGCACCAAGAGCTATCTTCGAAAGATGGACAAAGATGATGATGAGCAGGCGTCTGAAAGCTCCTCCTTCCCAGACGTCCTGATCACTACGAAGGACGGGGCAGCGTTTGCCGTCCGCATGATGACCCGGTCGTCATTGAATGTAAGGTTGCCAACCAGCTGGTTGGACGGATCCTTATTGACACCGGCAGCTCATCAGACATCATCAGCCTCCAGTGTCTGCAAAAGCTGAAATACAATGACAGCAGCATGCATCCGGTTACCCACCCCTTAGTTGGTTTTGGGGGTGGAATGGTTTACCCAGTCGGAAGGGTTGATTTACCAATCCGGCTGGGTAAGAAAGGAAAAGGGCGACACTTGGTCGTCAAGTACTTTGATGGTTGGGACAGTTGCTTTTGCTAAGCTGGGTGCAGACTTGCACATCCTGCTGAAAGAATTCAAAGACATTTTTGCCTTTGTAGTAGAGGAGATGCCAGGCGTCAGCCCGGATCTTGCCGTCCACAAACTCGCTGTGGACCCTAAAAAGAAGCCCATCCAACAAAAGAAAGAAATCATGGCGAGGAAAGAAGTCAGGCGGCAGCTGCCGAAGTTAAAAAGTTGTTAGACGCTGGGTTCATTCGGCCATGTAATTTCCCGCACTGGGTGGCGAATGTAGTGCTTGTAAAGAAGACGAATGGTACCTGGCATATGTGTGTTGATTACACAGATCTCAACAAGGCATGTCCCAAGGACAGTTATCCGCTTCCTAAGATCGACAGTCTAGTCGATTCAACAGCCGAGCATGCCTTGATGAGTTTTATGGATGCCTACTCCGGCTTCCATCAGATACCCCTGTGGAAGAAAGATCAAGAAGTCACTGATCAGGGGTTATTCTGTTTTACTGTGATGTCGTTTGGCTTGAAAAATGCGCCGGCTACAATCCAACGGATGATTAATACGGTCTTTATTAATCAAATTGGGAGGAATGTAGAGGCATACATTGATGACATGATAGTTAAATCCAAGCAGCAGGCGGATCAACTTGCTGATCTCCAAGAAACCTTCACCACACTCAGGCGGCATAAGGTTATGTTAAATCCTAAGAAATGCGTCTTTGGTGTTGAGTCTGGGAAGTTTCTCGGATTCCTGATTGATCAAAAGGGGATAGAGGCTAACACTGAGAAGATACAAGTGGTAATTGACATGAAGTCACCCCGTACTGTCAAGGAAGCACAGAGCCTAACTGGTTCCGCGGCCTTGGGGAGATTCCTCAGCCGGTCAGGTGACAAGTGCCTCTACTACTTCCAAGCAATCAGGAAGAAGACCAGATTTGAATGGGGGATGATGCTGAGGCGGCCTTTCAACGGCTGAAAGAACACTTGCACTCTTTGCCAAGGCTTGTTAGTCCACTGCCTAAAGAGGTGTTATACATGTACCTAGCCGTCTGAGATCATGCCCTTAGTGCCGTTCTCCTTGCTGAGAGAGACGGTGTTCAGCTTCCGGTTTATTTTTTTTTGCCATGTTCTAAAAAATGCTGAGCTCCGGTACCTCATGGTAGAAAAATTTGTCCTTGCTTTGTATATTGCCTTCAAGAAATTGAAGCCGTATTTTCTGGCTCATCCGGTGGTAATTTACACCGACCAGCCCCTCAAGCGGCCAATGTCTACCTTGGAATCATCCGGCAGAATGCTGAAATGGGCTATTGAAATGCAAAGTCTTGAAATCACTTTTGAACCTAGAAAGGCAGTGAAAGGTCAGGCGTTTGCCGACTTCATTGTTGAAATGACCCGACCGGTGCAACAGGGTAACATTGACCAGGTTTGGAAAGTGTATGTAGACGGAAGCTCAACGAAGAATGGTTGCGGAGCAGGAATTATATATGAATCTCCTAAGGGGGACAGATTTGAATATGCACTGAGCTTTAAGTTTCAGGCCTCAAATAACGAGGCGGAGTATGAAGCCCTACTAGCCGGAATCCGCATGTGTAAGGCAGCAGGGGCAACTAAAATTGACGATATTTTGATTCACAGTTGGTCGCCAGCCAGTATGAGGGAAAATATGAGGCAACTCATCCAGCTATGATCAAATTCCTTCAGGCAGTCAAAGAAGAGGCTAGGGCACTTGAGGAATTCCGTCTGAATTAAGTGCCTAGGTATGATAACAATCAGGCGGATGCGTTGTCTAAATTGGCTTCATCCGCCTGCTGTGATACTCCTCGGTCGGTCTTTTGGGAAGTTCTTGAAAAGAGAAGCATACATGAAGTGCCCATTGGAATCTTAGACCGAAGCTCTACCTGGATGAATGGCATCCGGGCATACTTAGCAGACGGAAAACTTCCTGATTCACCACAGGAGGCAACCGTCATGAAAAAACGAGCAGCAAACTTCGAGTTAAGAAATGGAGAGCTCTTCAAGGCAGGTTTCCTTAAACCTCTA